AGAAAGAGCACACAGACAAATCCATCTGATGTACATCAACACTTGTGCTTCCCTGTTAGTTCTGCCAGGAAAGGTTGCTTCACTTGGCACCTGGTGCCAGGCAGGTGAACAGACCGTGCCAGCACGGTCAGAACCCCTCAGTCCAAAAGTGACTGACAGACAGCAGTGGCAGCCTGGGGACAGGCTGAGGGAGCACATCTGGCACGTGTGGGGCACTATCACCCCACACCACATCCCTCTGGACACAGCTCACTGCTATGTGTGTGCAGCCCATGTCATGGATCTGCCAGCACCTGGACAAGTGCTTGGGTTTGTGACCCTCTCTCTTCATTTCTGAGATGTTTCTAGGATTGCTTTGACAATCCCCCCTCAAAAAACTGAAAACAGTTTGAAAAACAAATCTAAACTTTTGCCTCTAAGCTATGTCATATTAATATCTGCTTATTCTTGAAATATATATATATTATTCATAAAAAATGGCCTTACTTTCAAAGATATTGACCAATCAGGGGTTTAGTTGACTTAACTAGGTTATAGGCATTCAGCATTTTTAGGAAAAAAAGGAAAAGGCAAACATAGAAAATCTGGTCATGAAAATTTTAAATAAGATTTTTAAAAGTTAAGTTTCTGTTTACAAGTCTTACAATTATTGCACTGACTTCACTTAGCTTGGACAGTGCAGCCAAAATAACCAGGTTTGCATTTTTTTTCCTCCTGCTTTCATTTCCTGCATCATCAACTAGAAGTGCTGGAGTGCATACCAAAAAAAATAAAAAATAAAGTGTCTGAATTCTCTGAAGTCTGTCTTTCCTAAGTAACAGGCTTTAAAAAATATTAAAAACCCTACAAACAAATCAGTAATAAGTCATTATTCCTTAGGAAAATCCTATCACAATACTTCATGATTCCATGAGACTGAGCAAGTTTTTTTTGCTCCTTTCAAATGTTCACCCCAGCAGGACTGGAGGCAGCTGGGGACAGTGGACTATGAGGGGGAAGGCACAACATGTGACCAGGTCACTTGTGAAAGGACTCACCACCGAGGTGTGGTGCAATCTAATATCAGGACCCAGCTCAACAAGCTGGTCTCTGTAGGGAGAGAGCCAGAGGCTCCTTCAGAGGGATTTCCCCCAAGGAAATCCATCTCCTTTCCTAATAATTCCAACAGAAGCCTAAGAAAATTATCTGTCAGACCTAGGATGCTGTGAATATCTCCTTCACCAGGACATTTATACCTTGTAGGGTATCTACAAGGAAAAGTCAGTTGCTTTAGTTGCAGAAAAAGAATTTGACCTAATTAAAACCGGGAGTAAAAATTTTTTTTGAGGGGGAACATTCTCCACACCTATACTCTACTTGCTTGTCTGCACTAACTACCCCAAAAGGGCTGGAGTTGTAAGGCAGAGTCCACTGCCCTATTTGTACCTGGAAGAGTAATATTCTTCTTCTAGCTCGTACAGGTCAATGGAGATCTCATCCCTCAGGGCAATCAGCTTCTTGTCACACTCCTCCTGCAAACTCCTCAGCTGCTGGTTGCGCTGGTTGATGGCCTCGTTCACCGAGGGGAAGTCGTTGAGGATCAAGAACTGCTTCAGGTCAGACACAAGTTTCATCAGGGACTCGCCAGCTCGGACCTCGTGGCAGGGAGAAAAACCACAGATCAAAACAAGGCTTTGGTCCAGCTCCAACACAAGATCTCCCAAGCTGCTCCTTCAGCAGGATGAAGTAAAAACTCCCACATTACATAGGGATTCTCACAGAAGCCTGTAGCTGACAAGCCACCCAGCCTTCCCCAGCCACCCCAAACACCAGTTATTGCCCCAACAGCCCCTGAAGGACGTGCTGCCCACAGACCTGAACAGCTCAGTGCTACTCACAATGTTTGCAGCTCTGACGTGCATCTCATAGTTATCTTGCTCACCCTGGGTTGCTCGAGAGACTTGAGTTTCGTCCTCAATCTAAAGGAATAAAAAGTACACATATCCACCTTTACATCTTTAAAATCCAGATAGACAATTACTATGTTATCATATATGGGAATATATGTGAATATGTGTGAATTTCATATATAGGTGAAATGTCTATGTGAAAAATACATGTGTATGTGAAATTCACATCTATAGATGAATTTCAGTTCAATTCACATCTGGAACTGCTGGGACACCTCTGGACTTTACAGCACCCACGTATCATCTTTGCTGTCCTCCCCTCTTGCTTCTGCAGTTTTCCCCCGTTCAGGAACATCACAGGATGGTCAGGAGCAGCCAGGGAGGGCTGACTGCTGTCTGCCCTGGGGAAGGGACCCTCTTCCCTCTTGGAGGAACCAGGAGAAACAGGACTGGAGCACCTCCCCTATGGAGACAGGCTGGGAAAGTTGAGGCTGTTCAGCCTTGAGAAGAGAAGGTTGCATGGAGACCTCACAGCCCCTTTCAAGTGTCTGAAGGGGCTACAAGGAAGCCAGAGAGAGACTCTTTGTCAGGAACTGTAGTGACAGGACAAGCAATAATAGATACAAATTGAAAAAGGGGGAATTTAGGTTAGATATTGGGAAGAGATTCTTCCCTGTGAGGGTGGTGAGGCCCTGGCACAGGTTGCCCAGAGAAGCTGTGGCTGCCCCATCCCTGGGAGTGTCCAAGGCCAGGTTGGACGGGGCTTGGAGCAACCTGGGAGAGTGAGAGGTGTCTCTGCCCATGGCAGGGGGTGGGACTGGATGACCTTTAAAGTTCCTTCCAACCCCGTAATATGATTCTCTGAGTCTATGTCCCTTCACGGGCTTTGCTCTCCCCTCACAGCTCCCCCCCCCTCAGAACCCAGCCCCACCCTTCTTCCCTCAGGAGCGGGGGGGTGCCCACCTTGGCCGTCTTGATGATCTCGGTGAAGTTGTCCATGATGGACTTGACATCGTCCTTGAGGCGCTTGTTGTAGGACTGCAGCAGGGTCTCCTTGCTCTGGGGCAGCACCCGGGGCTGCGCCATGGCC